AAGCATATCGAGAGCTTATATGATCGGCAATGGTTTATATTTGGGACATACGGTGGTTATTATTTGTTTATTTGGTGTTTTGTAAGTAGACATACATTACATCGTCTAAATGAAAACAATAATGCGCGAGATTGAACCTGGCAAGTCACAGACGTTTTTCTTTTCCTCAGTGGTTGTGCACGTTGTTTACATACGTAAATCAAGCTTTGCTTTGAAATAAAGGTTTGCAAAAAATAATTTGAAGCATCTTGTTAATTAAAAGCATTTGTTTTTTTAACAATAAATAAACAAATAAATAAGTAAACAATTTTTTTTAATCTAAAGACCCATTTCAAAAATGTTGAAAGATAAAAAAGGTTCCACCTAATAAAAGTAATAAATGTGGAGGACCTGGAACATTGTAGAAAATTATCCAATGAGTTATTGCATTAATAAGTAATCGTAAAAGAGATATATAGAGAATATATATCCATCAACATATTTTTGTGATCAAGCAAAATTAATTCATGATACAGGTATTCGAAATATACACAACATGAATTTTATCATTGACAATCATTAAGTCAATTAAGTGACCCTAATTACACCTAAAAATTCTGGTTTAAGCTGTTTGATGTTCCATCTATTTGGGAAAACTTTCAAATATTTTTTTATAACAGTATATGATATATTGTAAAATTTTTAGCACAATTAAAAATAAACTTGATATTTGCTATAAAGTGTCTTCAAATGTAAGCTAGTTATCAGAAAAGATGCATTGATGCATTTGGTCATGTGCATACATGAAAATGGTAAAAAGTGATGAAAAAATTTTGAAGTTCTGATTTTCCCTGAAATGACTGTCATTTGTGTAAACTGTGGTCTTTGTTTTATTTCAGTAAGTGATAAAATACCATTTTTATTCCCTTGATGAGGATTATATAGACTCTCAATAATTTCAAAACCAAAATATGTTCCGGGATCTTTGGTATCTTAGAGTTAGATTTCTTCAAGGCATTTACATACTCTAGTTTGCATGGGACCTAATTAGTAAGTGAAAATAATTGGTACTACATGTATCAGAATTTTTTTTTAAACCAAGTTTAAGAACATGTATCAGGGAGACATTTTCTTTTTCTTTAAAATAGACTTTTGCCAGAATAAAGCATGTGGATTAAATTGCACATTTCCTCCACTTTTTATTTCTATTTTATTAAAAACCAAAAACAGTGAGACTGCCCCAACCTATACATGCACTCACAAAATTATAAAATTCACTGGTTAAATAAATGGTAACTCTACAGTATAAAATTAAGATGGATTGTCATTTTTGTAGGCATAAGAAGGAGATCAGAGTCTTTAGACTGAGTAATTTGTAAATTGTATGGACTTGCATGTACATCTGTTCAATAAATTACAATAAAGACTGGGTATAATACAGCAAAACTCGTTTAGTACAAACACGAATATTGCGAATTTACGGATATAGCAAAGTCAATTTGGATACCTAGCTTAATAAATTTAATTGATTTCTTATACTGTTATAACAAATTACAGATATAGCTAAGTAATTTCATAGGTCCCAGTGACTTCGTTATAACCGAGTTTTACTGTAGGAATTGTACTTCTCAAACTCAAAAGTACACATTGTACATGTTTATGATTAATATGTAATATGTCCTCTCGTTTACAAATTTATAAGGCCCCAGAAGCTTCTATATTCCATCCCTTCTAGATATGTAACAGTAAGATAGGTACATTTGATATAAGAGATAATCATATATGCCTGAATGAATACAGTAAAAAAGCTAAGATTTAGTGTGATAATTTTTTTTTTATGATGGTCAAAATTTTTTTTCAAAAAGGCTAATTCCTGTACAATTACTTATCAACAAAGATTACATTTTGGTCTCCAAAGATATGTTTATTTTTAAATATGAAAATATGAATAGTTACTAAGAATACAAAGAAATCCCATAGTGGAAATAAGATATAAATTTCAATACTGTATACAGGGTTAATTTTGCCCCGTGTTATTTTCGCCCTTTTGAACTTGTGAACAATTTGCCCTGTTTTAAATTCACCCAGTCATAGTTCTGTTTAAGAAATTATGAGGTGTAATTTGAATTCGCCCCATTTTAAATTCGCCCAATCAAGGAGAGGGTGAAAGGGGCGAAAATAAAACGGGGGCGAAAATTTCCCTGTATACAGTATTAGGAATAATATTTTATGTTGAAGTAAAAATTCAGGCACATTCAAAATTTGTGTACAGTGGAGCCTCATTTATCCGGACGCTTTTGTTCCCAGTGAAATCGTCCGGATATGTGAAGCATCCGGATATCTGAATCAATAGATAAACAAAACAAAGTAACATTTAAAAATTCTGTCCCGATGAAACATCGTCCGGATACTGAAGCATCCGGATATCTGGCGTCCGGATATCTGAAGGTCCACTGTAATAGGAAAGGAGAAAATGTATGGTAACTAAGGTTGGACCAGGAATTGAACTCAGGAACCCTGCTTCACTAGTCAGGTGCTCTACCGAATGAGCTACCCAGGTTGATACCCATAGCACAACCATTACATATCCCTCCTTAAAGTTATCTTTATCCTTGCAGACACAACCCAAATTCTTATTAGCCCCTGACAGGACTTTCACTTGCAAATCCAGAGGGGTCAGTAGCATCAAATCTGTAACAAGGAAGGAGAAAATGCACAGCTGGACCATGAATCTAAGAAGGGGCCCCTGCATCACTGGTCAGATGCTCTACTGACTGAGCTTACTTGGCCTATATCCATGACCCATACCATTAGACTTGCATAAACTTAAAAGTATTTCATAATATATTGATTGATATTACGGTACATATCTGTCAACCATCATTAACTAAAATCAATTGAAAAAAATCAAAACTGTTATTCACCAGTGACCACATTGAACGACATAATTTTTGAAAACGTTATAATTGACTGTTAAAGGTGCTTAAATTTCTAAAATTTGAAATACTAATTTTCCTGCTGGCAATTATTGTTGCCAGCTAGGAATAAAACTTCTAAAATAAATGCCACATTTCTTACAGAATGAGAAGTATTGTGGGAGAAAAGTTGATGAATATGTTAACTTTACAAATAACATGGAGAAATGCATTTTCTTCAATAAAAGCAAAATAAAAAAAAAGATTTGAGAATTACTAGAGTATATTTAGGGCTGTTAGATACCAGTCATTAGAAAATAAGACCTCTATAACCTAGTGAAAATGTTATTTTATTTTTGAAAAAAAATTATTTAACATATTGACTTCTTTAATTTGAAAATGAATACTAGTAACAGCAATTACCGGTAGTTCATTGTTGTGCCAATTTGCTCCAAGATTTCCCAACCTCGAAAACTGCATATTCTTTGAGGATCATACTTTCTTGTATGATTGCCAATATTTCTTAAAATAATCACTGGTCCTATATTCACAGGATAATCGAATCTTTAATTTATACTCTTTCTAGTTAAAATCTGAAAAAATCCATTAACTTAAATCAGAATTCACTTAAACCTACATGAATATATCCCTTACTCAGATAAGTATACAATGACTTTTCACAACATAACGGTATATATAACATTGACTTTATCATTGAGTTACTGTTTAAATTAATTTTTTTTTTACATAATATTAAACTAAAATTGAATTTTTAAAGCAATTGATATATTTTTTTTTTCATCAGTGCAATATTTCCTCCGAAAAATATAGTTAATAAAATGCTAAAAAGTCATTTCAAAATTTTTTTTGTTGAAAATTTGGTTTCCATGGCAACATAAAATATTAGATTTTTAAAAAAAAAATAGTATAGATTAAAAATCGCAACATTTGCTATATATTTGCCAAATTTCAAGCTAATTGGTTGTCAACAATTTTAGATATTTGCATTTTAGTACACCATTGTGATAATTTTGTTGATATTGCAAAACAACTCAGTCCTGAGGTTACAGCGCTCGTAAAACAAGTCAGCACACAAAGGGTTAATGTGGAAACTGTCAAAAACATTGAACTCTGTGTTTTAAATGGGAAGATATTTGAATGCAGAGTTCATATCTGATTCTGAATCAAGGCCATCCTTAAGAAATTGTTTGTTTGAAATTGCCGCCTGAAGGGTTTCACACACAGGAGGGACGGAGGGAAATTTTTTTTTTTTTTTTAATTGAAGAAAAATTTTAAATTTTTGATAAAAATCTCAGTAAACAGTAAATACATTTTCTGACTTTTAAAAAAAGTATCTACCATCAACAGAAAAACCTAATTTTACATAGAACTGACATATCTTTCAGTGTTTTGTATTGCGCATGTGATACATGTGATGGGCAAAAAAATTAATTGAATAAAAAAATCTTTCTTCTTTTGGTCAATAAATTTTTTTCAGGAGGGGCATTTCAATGAGGTGGGAGGCAATTCCAAAAAAACTATAATTTTATTTTGGCCCAATTTATTTAATTTCAGCTGTTTCGTTTAAAAAAAACCACTATAATATCCTTTATATATTTTCGAGAATTTTATCATTTCACTTAGATTTGCAAGAATCATCAATTGCAAATTAAAATTTTTCTAACAAAGTTAATGTATTTTTTATGTTGCTGAGGTACTTGTAAACTCTTGATTAACAGTCTTCTTCAATGCTCTCATAGTTTGATGTTTTTTATTTAAGTCAGTTTTGCAATATTAAGTTATTTTCACCCCTTTATCATGTTTGTATGTGCAAGCAATTTGGCCCCAATTGAATTTGCCCAAACACAGTACAGTTGTTTAGAATAGATAATGTTGTATTCTTTGAATTTGCCCCATTTAATTTTGCCAAATGGGCAAAAAGGGCGAAATTAAAAGGGGGCAAAAATTTCCCTATATGCAGGACTCATTCTAGATCTACAATAAATGACGTAACTGTTATATGATTACAGATGGTTTGTCCTGTTGCCCACTGCAGCATTAGGTGGAGCTGCTGCCTATGGTGAGTTTGTGGATCCAGAGTTTAAGAAAGTGATGGAGAAAAATGTGTATAGTCCATTCCAAGAGTACGTTTATGATCCCATAATGGGCCTGGTATCTGGTTCAGGAAAAGCCGCTGAAGAGGAACCAAAGCCGCTGGCTAAAATCACCCCCACTCCAGTGAGTATAATAAAACCACCCACACACTGAGTAAAAAATCACCCCTACCCAGTGTTTTCCCTTTATTTCAAAGTGAAGGGTTAAATATCAAATTGAATTAATATTCAACTGAAGCTGCAGTTGATTTGACCGGTAGCCGGTTCTTATGGAAAACACTGCCAACCTAGTGAATATAAATTTCCCTACCCCTGTCAGTATAAGGAACCCCTTATTTCAGTCAATATGAATAACCCCACCCCAGTGAGTGAAAATTACCTCTATCCTAGTGAAAAATAGACAACACCCCACCCTACTGAGTGAAATCCATTGCAATCTCAGTGAGTAGAAAAACAAACCCCAAACCTATGTGTATATAAACTGCTCCTACCACACTTATTAAAAATTGCCCCCACCCCAATGGATATAAAGCACCCCACACACTGATTACATATATATGGATTCTGAATTTTAAATTAAGCAGATTGTCTTTCAACTACAAAGTTTTTTTTTAATTGTTTCTTCTCAGTTATATGCCCCAGATATCTTTACAATATACCTATTAGAATTTTTGTGCATATATTAAATTCCACGTTTTTCCCCCTGATTAAAAATGATAAAAAAAATTTGACTAAGTTGCCATTTTTTCTTTAGCAGCCTCAGACAGTAGTGAAGAAATCAGAACCAAAGACAGAACCAGTGAAGAGCACAGTCAAAGGTAAGAAGGGGGTCCTCTAGGGAAAGATGTAACCCTTAACAGTGGGCACCCTCTGTTTGAAAATTTAAAAAAAGGAGAAAAGTTCTTTGATGATCGCAATTTTGACATAGTATTACATTATGCAAAGAATGTTTAAGGTTGTATTAATACAAGTATTTGTTTTCAGTATGATGTTTAAGTTAAATTTCAGGAAATCTTTCAGAAAAGAGCCAATATTAACCTTAAGACTGTAGATTTCTCTGTTATTTTCATTTCTCATTTTTTGCCTGTGGAAGATGTTTTAAAATGAAAAAAAATTCTTACAGAGACACCAAGTCCTGCCCCAGCTCAACCATCCCTCTCTGCTAAAGAGAGGGAAAAGTTAGACATAGAACGAAAACTACAGCAACAGAGAGAGAAAGAAAAGGCTGAAAATACAGGTGAGGGGAGAGAGAGAGAGAAAGAAAAGGATGAAAATACAGGTGAGGAGAGAGAGAGAGAGAAAGAAAAGACTGAAAATACAGGTGAGGAGAGAGAGAGAAAGAAAAGGCTGAAAATACAGGTGAGAGGAGAGAGAGAGAGAAGTAGATTGGAACAGGAGAGCAGGTCAAAAAAATACAGGTGAGAGGAGAGAGAGAGAGAAATAGATTGGAACAGGAGAGCAGGTCAAGAGGTGATACTTTAAATGTTAAGGGGAGACAAATCAGCAATGATGAAAGTCAGCTATCTACATGTACTGATGTGTGATATTCACTTGTTCAGTTTTATAGCTCAGATCAAGCGATTTTACAGATAGTCCAATACTGAGGTTACATAACTGTTTGTTGAATTTTCAGCCCTGGAGTCCAAGCTGAAGGATTTGATGGATTCCTGTAAAACTAGGCTCCAGGAGGCCTCAGATCTACAGAAGGATGTCATAGAATCAGTCAAACAACACTCCAAGGCCCTGCAAACGGCCATGGATGACAAAACAGATGTAAGAGTTACGGTTCCTGGTTACTGTAAATTTAGTACTATATGTGGCATGTACAGGGTACCCTATTTGGCAGAAATTAATTTTTCAGCAAGTTATCATAGGTTTGATTCAGGGCTATCTGAATGTGCTAGATATAAATGCATGATATACAAGACATTTAGCTGACTGCTTATGTGAAGAAGGGGGGTTCACAGTCTGTCTGAGAACAACAACAATGATTCATTTTATCGGTATTAAGTTGGATTAAATTTGATTGAATTTAAAATGAGAACATAACGCTCTATGTCAGATTCTGAACAAGGAAGGACAGTGGCAAGCCGTGTCAGAGGCTTTCCAGAAAAGAGAGGGGGTCACAGACAACGCCAAAAAGGTCATGGAGTCACTCAGGTGGGAAAACATTCATAATTATTTATATTGTTCCAAAGGTAATGCTTATGGTACGTGTAGTTAGCAACTTAGCAGAGTTTTGTGTGGAATCAGTAACTACATACTTTATAAACCTTTTAAACGGACTTACAGAGGGAAAAGTAAAAGCAAAACCATGAGTATATTAAATTTAGTAAATTCATTTGATAATTAATTAGATATTGGTTAGGCCAAAGTTTTTATTTTTTTTGGTTTACGATTTTTTGACACAAAAATATGCGTTGGGCGGTCGAAAAATAAAAATAAAAATAATTTGGAACCTTGACATATTTTTTTCTCCAGTAGCATTGAAATATATTCAGATGCCTTATTACTGTTGATGGTTTTCATTCTTCTGACTTTCAAGTCCGAGTTTCCATAATAGACACATTGCACGAGTAAAATTAAGTGAATCTGTTATTCTCCGGTCAACCTTTCCACATATGAAAAAGTTTTTGAAAACTCTGAAAGTCATGGACTGCTTTCACAACAAACTTTCACCTTAAGGTACGTGTGTCCAGGGATCAATTAACCCAGACCCAAAATTTAAGGAGACATTTCTCCATCAAAGAAATTTAGGGAGAAGTTTTGAAATTTAGGGAGACTTCTTGGAGCGTACGTGGCACACATTAATCGTTATAAAACTATTTTATTGTTTATAAATTACAAACATTTCAATAATTTTCCTGTATAAACATTGTATTTAAAATGATTTAATAAGAGAAAAAGAATCTTAAAAGAAATTTCCCCCAATTACTAGGTATATAAATATCTAGAAAGAATTAATAAAACAACATTGACATTAAATAAAATTTACTACTATGTGTACTACAATTAAAATGTAAAATTTTCTTATCAGATTAATTGTTTATCAAACTTTTTTTTTCCCCTGTATAAACATTGTATTTAAAATGATTTAATAAGAGAAAAAGAATCTTAAAAGAAATTTCCCCCAATTACTAGGTATATAAATATCTAGAAAGAATTAATAAAACAACATTGACATTAAATAAAATTTACTACTATGTGTACTACAATTAAAATGTAAAATTTTCTTATCAGATTAATTGTTTATCAAACATTTTTTTTCATTTCTTACATGGTAGCACAACCTTAAACTTCTCAAATTTCTCTTCTCATTAGATTTCCAGACTTTTGGTATAGTCATAATTTTGTTAATTTCTCTTCAAACTTTGTTTTAAATATAAAATTCATTTTCTAATAAAAGTTTTGACGCACTTCTGCATACCGATTGAACTACACTTATGTTTCTCGGATCGGATGTGTGACTTCTTAAGAAGTTAATAACTTCACAATTTAACAGTAAAAATATGTCTGTATTCACAGCATGAATTAATTATTTGACAATAAAAAGATCTAAAATCTTCTCCAACATCTTTGGCATGACATCGATAGCTGTCCAGCTGTTTTGCGTCTTGTGTATAACTTGTAACGATGGTCTTTTTCATACCCGGAAGTGTAAAATCTAGAGGAGTTCCGACGGAGTATTCGATGCATTGGTCATTAATAGTTACAGAAACAGTCAGGTTGGTCCTTGCGCTGTCCCGCCATGTGGTTTGACAATCTGTGTTGTAAATTATAAAAACTGTCGTTTGGTCGAGAAAATTTCGGATTAAGAGTCCAGTTTCTAGAGTCAGACACATTATTTTTATTTTTGTAAATAGGGAAAAATAGGGTCGGCGGAATCGTAAACCAAGGGAAAAAAAAACTTTGGCCTTAGTTTGATTCTATGGATTATATGACAATGGAGTTAAGCTATGACTTGTTTAATTTAGTTATTAATATATAAAACAAAGAACCATAAATCTGTGTTGTGTTTGTAGATCAGAAATGGACAAACTGAAGTCGATAGTAGATGATGCGAGAAACACAAAATCAACAAAAAGTAACAAAGTCCTGAATGCAGCACAAGAGGCGTATAATACAGCCAGCAGTAAACTGAATGCCATACAGTCAGCTGTAAGTCATTTTATGTATACCCTTTTTGCAAAAATTAATTTTAGCAATTTTATAGTGCATTAGAGGTAATTTTTACAACAACAGGAATAAATTGTAGAAATATTCAATTTTATTGACCTCAGATTCCTAGCTAATAATGCCAGAATTGAAACCTATGTGAAAATTCTGTTGTTTTTTTTTTACATATTTTGAATATTTTTTAACAGTTCCATTTTGATTTCTAGATAGCAAAGAGTGAGTCGGAGAATGAAGGAATTCTGAAATTTAATGATCTGGTGGAGGATGGGAAGAAGAAATTTCAGCGAGAACTCGAGAGTTTGATGCCCGACGTTAAACCGGGAAAAGGTGAGGGGATTTGGAGACTTAGACATATATATATACAGGACTACAATCTTAATGGATCCCTTTGTGTTAGTGCATTACAACATACATTTTACCAGATGAATTTTTGTATAAAAGAACTATTGAACAAAGTATTTTGTGAATTTTGTTCAATAAATACAGCTGTTTGAAATCTGAAATGACTTCAGAATATTGAATATTGTATAATCATTTGTCATTTATGATAATGAACAAAGTTACCTATTACATGTACTTTGAGCCACATAGCTACAAGAACGTCACAGTTTTGTAGTTTACACATAATCATATTAACAGTCATAGAACTGATACTTCTATAAATGGTGCTGCATCAAGTTAGGGTGGTTTGATGTGGAAGAAAAAAGAATTCCAAATTGAAATATTATTTCAGAAAAAAACTTAATGTGATCATAAATCTTTTGCAACTCATGTATTTGTACAGGAAAGAAGCTGAGTGAAGACGAGTTAAATTCGCTGATCGCCCATGCTCACCGCCGTATCGAGCAGCTGCAGCACCAGTTGGCCAATCACATGGCTCTGGAGAAAGAGCGGATTCAGGAGGCGTTAGAAAGTCAGAAACGCGCCGATGACAAAGTGTGTGACAGACGAATTCAGGACGAGTCTCAGAAAATCAGGAATAGCATTGATCTCGAAAAACGCAAATGGGTAAATTTGCAAATGAGTTCACTACCAGAATTTAGCATAAATTTACACTAGAATACAAATTTAAGTATGATCTGTGTTCAATTCAAGCTAACTAGCAGTTCAGAAAGAGTACCACAATTTTCTTGAAATGCTGAAGAAATAATGACTACTGTAAACAGGGTTATTTTCTTCTGTGTTAATTTTGCTCTTTCACACTTGCTCACAGTTTTGCCCAATTTCAAATCTGTCAGATCACAGTTCTTTTAAGAGATTATAAAGTGTTCTTTGATTTTGCCACATTTTAAATTTGCCCAAATGTGACAAGGTTCAATGGGTCGAACATAAAACGGGCGAAAATTTCCTATACACTGTATATATTATTTGTACATGTATATACTTATTTTTATGAATACAAATCCTTTTTCAAATAAAAGTTAGGCACAAAATTTATTTTATTTGTAATTTGAAATGCAGGAGAATAATTTGAATAAAAAAAACCACACAATTCTTAATTTCCAAGTCAAATTTGATTTTTAGGAAGAGGAGGCCCAGGTTCAGCATGAGGTGGATCTACGACAACAGCTGGCGAGACAGGCCGCCGCCCACAGTGACCATCTACAGGAAGTGCTGAAGGTACAGGAACAGGAACTCCTACAGAAATACGAGCGACAGTTCAACCTGAAGTTTATAGAGGAGAGGCAGGCCTTCCAGGCCGAGATCGCGGGGTGGGTGGCACGATTGAAAGGCATCGAGACCGCCGTAGAAAGTAAGTACAATCTAGGGATGTCGTTTGTTAATGATTTTCTTCCTAGGATGCTTTGTTCAAATTTTATTTTATTTTTGAGATGGACATTTCATGTATTGACATTAAAGACTTAATTGTCCAAGGGTGGAATAAGTCCAAAATGTAATCAGTGTCTAGGCCTTTAAAAATATGTTTTTAATTACCTGGTAATATTTTGGAATGATGTCAGAGAAGATTTTTTATCGATTTTTTTTTATTATTAGGCAGGGCTGCTGCTGAGAAGATCGCCAGAGAAGCTCAGGATCTGTGGCTGGCCAGCCTGGCTTTGAACGGCAGCATTCGCCGGGGTAAAGAGGAGGAGTTAGAGTGGGAAGCCCGACTTAAGCCGCTCGGAAATGAAATTGTTGCGGTGTACGATGCTGCCGGAAATCACCCGTTTGTCAACGTGATCGTCAGCACGATCCCGGAGAAGGCCTACGTACGCGGTGTTTGGACCGAGGACACTCTGAGGGAAAGATTCGAGAAAGTCTCCAGTGTCTGTAAAAAAGTGGCAGCCATCGATGAATGTGGAGGAACCCTGTACAAGTACTTTATATCTTACCTACAGTCCGCCTTCATAAGTTTTAAAAGTTACGACATTAAAGGATTAAATGACCAAGTTGACATTGCCAGTATGGACAATTTTGAAATTTTGGCCAATGCTAATTTCTGGATGGAGAGGGGAGACTTTGAGACTGCAGTCAGATTCATGAATCAGCTGCAGGGCGAGGCCAAAAAGGTGGCCTCTGATTGGTTGAAAGAGGCCAAGTTGCTATTGGAAACACGACAAGCAGCCATTGCCCTGACTGCCTTCGCATCAGCTAGTGGTTTGGGAACAGTGTTTTGAATATGACTTGTTTTTTTGTGGAACATAAATGTTTAAATAACCAGACTATTTAAGAGATGCTGTTTTGATTTATGAGAGAAATAAAGATGATCAATTACAGTGTTTTCATTTTGTTTGTCACTGAGTCAAAAGGTCAAGATAGCGTTTCTTATCAAAAGTTGTCTTTCATCCAACCCACCCCTTTTTGTTGTTTTAAAGATTCAGGTTTTATTCAAATTATGCCCTCCCTCTCTCCAATTTTTACATTGAAATTTTGCATTGAAAAAATAATCTTTCATATTTATACAAGTTAATTTGAGAGTAATGTTGAAAACAAACAATGAGATTAAATTATTCTATTCTTGCTTTAAGAAAGAAACCGCCTGACACCCCCTCCAAATGAACATGTGAGCACCTACATGTACTTAAGATATCCTTTGTGAAGGGTAACCAAGAGAAATATTTGGGAGGACGAACATTTTCAAGATTAATGGGATTTATTGTGTGAAATAGATTTGCACCCGGCGGTAACAAAGTTAGGAAAAATTATTTTTTTCATATACAGGTGTATGTCACAGTCAAGGTCACTGACATTGGTGTCGTTTGAAAGAACTTAAATTAGTAGAGTAGGCATACCAAATATGAAGTCTCTATCTCTTATGGTTAAAAAATGTGGCGAAGGTTCAAAAAGGTTATTTTTAGCAGATTGGTCAAGGTCACAAAGTCATTGACCTTGGTGCCATTTGAAAGAGCTTTATTAGTTCAGTAGGCATACGAAATATGAAGTCTCTATTTCTCATAGTTTAAAAGTAATGGTGAGGGTTACATTTGACAACGGACAGACAGGGTAGAAACAATATGCGCCCGTGATCTATCGATCCGGCCGCAAAATAAGTTGTTATGTGTCAACCCCCCACCCCCACACTACTCTTTCCTCGATACACCGTGTCTGCATTTGGAATTTTGGATACGCCATGAAATGTAAAAACTAATCCGTAATCTTGATTTACTTGATAACATGAGACCGAAACTTTTATCAACAAGAGGTGAAATATGGCCGACAAACTGTCCTTTCTTGTTATCTCCGTGATAATTTCCTACGGTAAGTAAATATAAATGCAATCAGTAGTATTACATTGAAATCTGAACAATCTGCATGAAGGTTTTATAAAGTCAATTCATAACAAATCACGACCTCAACCTATATGACTTCTCATTTCATTATAAAGATTTTTTTCTATATGTGGAAGGCAACTTGAAATCAAATGGAGCCATTTAAATAACAAATACATGACATGTTTCCTCAGTTGGTATATGAGATAAAATTATTAATTGATATACAGGTATCATGTATGGGGTATTCTGCGGCAATATTTTTTTTCGGAAATGAATAATAAAACTTTCTTTAGGTGGGGGTCGCAAAATTTTTTAAACACATGTATTTATTAATTATATTTTGATGAAGTCGACCAAATATTACATGTAATTCGTAAGGTGAATTATTATGCTTGATACTCATGATCAATTGCAAAAAAATAAATTTCATTTAGAATAGAAAGAATATCAAAAGTTACAGTTCATGTCTATTAAATTTCACCATAGACACAAAGCAAAGGGCTTTTGCCTTATGAGGTCATGGACATTCAAATAAGAGGGATACCTCGTACTTTGATAAACTACTATAAACATCAAGTAAAGTGACCATTTCTATCCAGTTTCGTCCCGCAAGATCTGATGAAATTTTGTGTTTTAAAAATAAAATGTAGTATTTCTTTTTTGAATTATTATCCATATTAAACTCAAAAATTTTCTAAGAACAGCTAGACAGAAGTACAATGGAAAAAAATCAATTTAGGCCAACTAGCACTTTTGTCCTGGTGTCAACCATTTTTGGAAATTTCTGTACTTATTTTTATAGTGGTTGCTGACTGTCCAAATGGATTCACGAGACACGATGAGTCCTGCTACGTCATCAACCGTGTCTTAGCAACGTGGGCTCAAGCCAGTGTGAGTACAGGGTACTATTTCATGTAAACACTCCGTCACGTGACGATTTATAATAATTATTTTTATCCTGCAACAAAGTCAAGTCACGGATTGTAGACGATGAAATTGATTCAAAGTAGTGACAACAAAGTGCAACAACGAATATATGCCGCAACATTATTTAATTTAATTGCAACGTTTTGGTATAAGTTGAACAAAATGCCGTATACATGTATTCACAGCATGAAATTTGTCAAAAGTAAAACAAACAATATTCCTTTTTCAGATATACTGTCACGCCATTCAAGCTGAATTGGTTTCCATAGAGAGCCAGGTTGAGGATACCTTCCTTAGAGGATATCTACAAAACGAAGGATGTAATGGAATTTATATTGTTAATTCTCTTAATACAGTGAAACCTGTCTAATCCGACTTGAACATGGATACGAATTTTGTGTCGGGATAGGTAGGGTGTCGGATTACAGAAGAAAAGACAAATTGTAAAATGGGAATGAAAGAATGAGTGCACTTATGGGCCCCGGTAAAATGTGAAAAAATAAACAATTAACTTAAGCAAAATTTTTCATCTCAAATCATTAATTGATATCTAAACCATACGATTCAACAAATTTTACCGCTGAAATCCACGAATATACAAAGAACAAAAGTATACAAGGTGGTAGGGGTCAGCCGACATTTGTGATTTTCTACACTGTAAAAAATGCGCTTAGAAAATAAACACTTCCATTACGTGTTTTGACCTAAACATGTATAAGATTGTGTTTAACGGCTAAACACTTGGGTCTAAACGTGTGTTAGATTGTGTTTAACCGCTAAACACTTATATCTTATATATGTGTTATATCTAAATGATGTTAAGATTTAACACATGTTTAGATATAAGTGTTTAGAAATTGAACACTTTTCTGTGAAGTGCAGAATTATCTTCCCGGAAATGACGCATATATATTCGAATGATAAATAGAGCGGTTATCGAAACAAAGGAAATCCCAATGTTAGCTAAAGAAGATGGCTTAAAGGAAGTGAATGCTAATCAAAGTGATAACCATGAAGCGATTGTGAAATGCATTTAAACTGCAACATTACTACGATAAAAGGTATGATAACTATTATTTTTATTTTACATAAATTGACCACGACGGGCTACGTAAATAGACATGAGTTTGCACATGTAGCTGTAGATCAAGATTACCTTCGGTTGTATTTTGTTTTCCTGAAATCTAGAAAGGAGTACATTATATAGAATATCAATATCTATAACAGTATCAATACTAAATAGTGGTTATATAGACGAGGTTCAATAAAAGTAGCACAATAATAGCTATCAAACATGTAAAAAAAAAAAGGGGGGGTCATACAAATCCAGCCAGTGAAAAGCATATTTTGATAAAATTTGAATTTCTTTCTTACAGGATATGGTCCACATCGAACTTGAAAGCAAAAATACACGTATCAGAGAAACCGTTGCCATCTCCAAGTCCACAATGACATGCCATCGTTCTTACATTTTTCAACACTTCTTACTTTCTAGGGGAAACTGAGTTTTGTGAAGTCTGCTGTTCGTTATAGCTTTGAACAACCTAAAAATATTCTCAAATAATGACAGTGGATTACTTACTGACGGTCACAGATGAAAACAAATTATGCGTGTGTTGCTCAGTGAAAAATTGCTGGAAGTTAAACTTGATACAGACATGAGAAATAACTGCTTGCTAATCTGGTTAGAGTTAAAACCAGCGTGTAAAAGTATAATGTATATTTAATTTAAAATTCTTTATAAAAAAAATCCATGTTTGAATGTTCATTGAATAAAATTTGAAATGTAAACAATTGTTATTTTTTTCAGTTTTCTTGCAGGAAGACAACGAAAACATCCAAGTGTTTAATTTGTAAACATGTATCATAACATGTTTTGTAAAGTGTTTAAAGTCTAAACATGTAAGTGTTTAGGGACTAAACACTTTCCGTTACATGTAATGAAATTAAATGTGTGTAGAATTTCAACGCATCAAAAAAAGTGTGACAAGAAAGTGCTTAGGAAAGTGTCTATCATCTAAACACATTTTTTACAGTGTATAGTAAATCGAGAACGATCATTCATTTCAAAGCTTTTGTTTACTATGAGCCTAACGTTGTGCATTGGTATTGAAAGCCACCTAAACACTCCTTTTTAATTTCAAATTCAATGAAACTATTATTGTAATTTTTCAAATGCAAGAGTACCAAATTCTTAGTTTAATCATTATAGCTACAGACAACTACACAACTTCATTCAATATTTTTAAAACAGGTATTTATTCCCCTTGATTTACATAAACGAAACTAAAAGAAGGTTCGGTACGACTTTTCCGGATTTAGGGTATCCATAGGCATTTAAAAATATTCAATTGTTTCAAATCCATGCTGATTTAAGTGATGCTTAACATGCTTTTTAATTAGAAATATCCACTAGTATCTAACTATTACCAATAGAGAACGATTTGGTAATATATTCAGAAGAAAATTGGCACATAAAAAGGGCCCATTAAGTATTGCTTAAGTGCACTTGTCCTTTAACATCGGAATTCACAGTGTGGCGGATTGGACAGGTGTCGGATTAGACAGATTTCACTGTATGTCAAAAGTTCAACATGTCCATAGGCGATTCAGATATTTCTCTTAGTGGAAAAGGTGGGTTAAAAAAAGGAGGTAGAAGATACATTTATTTGGCAAAAATAAAAAAAAAATTAAAATCACCCGAAAGCAATTGATAAAGAAAGAATGATGATATCCGTACATGTATTTAGCCTGATTATTCTAATAGCCATTTAATATTCAGTCTATCACAATAGCTTGATACATATAGTGAATATACAATTAATAAAATCTTTCCCCTTTTCCATTTTAGCTAAATTTGACCATCCCAGGTTCTGGGTCGGGGGTAGTGACCTCCTTAAGGAGGGGGAGTGGACGTGGACTAAGACCGGAAGTGTGATCGGGTCCCATGGGTTCTCCCACTGGGCCCCGGGTCAGCCGAACAATGGCGGTCATTTGGACGAACACTGTATGGAGCTAGAAGCCGGGACTAATTGGTTCTGGAACGACGACGACTGCGAGAATCGTAAAAACTTTAT